ATATATATATATTTCAACGAGTGTTTAAGTGTAGAAGACGATAATGTACATCAAAGTTCGCTTTATTCAGTAAAAGAAAACAAAAGTTATCAATTTCTGTGACTGAAAAATAGATTTCCATCCACAGACATTCATCCATTATCCTTTACTTCTTCGTTTCTGGGTCACGAGGGTCACTGGTGCCTGATTCCATCACAGGGCCACATAACAAACGAGACAAAGAACCATTCACTCTCTCACTTACTGATGCTAGTTCCTCAGCTGGGCATTAAGCTGTACTAGCCTCTCTTGTTGGTTCCCTCATGTCTTCCAAAGCTTGTCCCCCTTTGTGCCATATAAGCCTTTCATTTCATTTTGTAAGAAATACATTTGTTTTATTTTATTTTTATTTTGGTAGTTTTTTTGGAGCTGGGTTGGATTTAATATCTCACTAATCATGTGGGTTGCTTCAAGGCTGTTGAAGACCTGCAGTGTGAACATAACCTTTGATGATTGTGTGTAGACTTCAACACAGCGGCTACTTCTACCTTAGAAAGTCATAGTGATTGAAAATAAAACGCTTCAAATCATTCAAAAAAACTCCAGCTGAAACAAAGAAAAACATTATTTACTGATTGTAAACACCAAACCAGTTGTTGTTAAATCATCCCACTCATTACCTCCATTCTGTACACATGTATGCAGAGTGTGACGGATGGCGGAGGGGAGCCAAGCAGCCCATGTTAATGGAGCCCTCTGTCAGAACAGCAGCTCCTCATTCATCAGGTATTGTTATAGCCAAAAACACACCTCCATGTGTACACACACACACACACACAACGAGCACACAAAATGTGTCACTGGACAATAGAAAAACTGAGACTGAACCCTAATATGTTTTAGTTTCACTGTAGACAAACATCTTCACTAGAGGAGGAAGAACAGGATTATTACAGCCAGGTTGTTTTTTGGTTGGTCGCTTCGGTTGTTTTCTGAGAGGAAGACAAACTCAACCCCTGTGTTCGCTGGAGTCAAAATGTTGCTTTGTTGCTCTTGAAATTGCCCGAGTGAAGGTGAACGCGTGTTGTTTACCCACGGCCAGCGGGTGAGCGAGTTAAACCGAAATGCAACCTGAGCGCTCACACAGACGCCTCGCTGCAAACTGTGGGGAAGGAGGCCAAGTGCTGTTAGCGTCAAGCGGTTACATGGAGAGAGGGTGAAAGGTGGGATGTAAAACAGCTGAGAGGACATTAAAAAAAAACAATGCAAGAGAGGAGGGAAACATCAGAGTTTGTTTACATTATCACGGGGGCGACTCGACATGATGAAGGCGAAAGGTTTTATTTTTCTTTACGCTTTTGTTTAGCTTGTGTGATTTTAAATGTGCTCAGGAGTACATGAACTCTGACATCTTTTCATTTTGTTGTTCAGCCCTGCTCACATCAACTATCAGTGTTGTATAAACTACCTGAAAGTGATACTTGAGTAAAAGTACAAGTACTGTACCTTATCATTGCATTACTTTGATACAAGTTCAAGTCTCCTGTAAGAATATTACTTGAGTAAAAGTTTTAAAGTATCTGATTTATTTTGTACTTAAGTATCAAAAGTAAATTTCTGACATGAAATGTACTTTAGTAATAAAAGTAAAAGTATTGAGTAAAAGTGAATGGTTAGATTTTCCAAAATACATTTATTGGAAGGTGACCTCTTCACAATATTTTTTCTAAAGGCGTGCAGCTTTGATTAATTGTATACAAACTAAATACAGTGTCAGAATGATATATATTTATACTTCTCATCCAACCACATTTAAAGATCGTGTAAAGTAAAAACAGATGTGTGTTCTGAGGTTGTCACATCACAGAAATATGTGTTAAAAATCACCCAGCCAAGTTTGAACAATTAAAAATACTGGTAACCTTGTAAAATTATGTCAAAAGTAATGAGAAAATATCAGTTAGCTGTGGTCTGGAATGCTGTGGGCGTGTCCGCTGGAGGAGCTCAAACCACGCCCACGACCCTGAACATTCCTGTAACCCAGGAAGCAATGTTTTTTTTCTCTTTCTTCCAGCTGTGTGACATCACGAGGCTGCCCTTTAAGACACACCCAAAAAATCCTGAAACACAGATACCTTGTTACATAAATTGAATCATATCTCCACTATTCAAATACCTACAGTTGAGAGAATTTGTACTCATTTACAACAATCCATTTATGACATTTATAATGTTTAAAAAAGAAAATGTTACATTTGACTTTTACACGGTCTTTAAATTCACTCTATCCAGGAGCCACAATTTTTCAGGATAGTATTTTTTAACAATAACAAGCCGAAATGAAAAAGGAGAAACAATTTTCTACTTCTTAACTTTCTAAAAAAATTTAATGAGAAGAAGTAAAATAGTAGGCTGAAAGTACGCAAGTAAAGTACAGGTAACCAAAATTTCTACTTCAGTACATTAACAAAGTATTTGTACTTAGTTACTTTACAACTCCTTCCACTATACTGTTTATCTTCATTTGTAACGCTCAAACAGACCATTCTTTGAACAAACCCATATCATTTGCTGCCTCGCTCGCCAAAATCTTCAACAAAGATCTCACACAATCTATWAGTSCTCTGAGTATGKGCTGGGGCTGACTCTCAGCTACTACCACACCTAACTTTAGCTCAAWGTCTGTCAAACTGACAACRTTACAGACRTTGTCATAAATTMAGTTGACTCCAAATAACTTTTAGAAGAACCATTTCTTCTTTTTCTTCGTCCATGTGCTGTAGCCAGCAGGAAGGCTGCAGGTCTTTGTTGTACCGAACTAAAATATGTGCCACTCTGTGGGCCCAAACTGAAGTTGCACCTGGACCATTCAAACAAAGGAAGCTTGGAAARCCTTTAGACACATAGGAATGACTGAGCGGTCTTACAAATTAAATCCAATCTGCTCTAGCACACAMTTCCTTGGCCCAGCTCCTCTCTGCCCACACATGCAGTTCCTCTMCCCTTGGCACACAGGTATATCTAATCAGTGCTCACCACGTGAAGCAGCTCATTGACCTATTGGCCGAGGAAACAGAGTCAGAAGTTTTTTCCTCCTGCTCTGAATCGCRTTGGTGCATCAATGGAATCTGACAGTGTAATTAGTAGAACAAGAGAGGACTAATTGACAGTGTGATCAGGTCTCTTGCCGCAGGTCGCACCRCAGCATAGTACCTCATCACTGTTAATGATATAATCCTGTGTGGGTGCAGGTGTGAGAGTGGCTTTGTTTATGTGTGCACAACAGCATAAGGCAAAACTCAGCTGTGGAATAGCAKAGGGACACACGTGTGAGGAATAACAAAAAAAATTAAAATACAAATAAAAATCACATTGTGCATGATTCAAAGCAGTCTAATCTGAAGTTTGAAAAAAATGAGTYAGTGTAAAACATCTGGATTACCTCAATGCCTCCAGCTGTTCTTTACAAGCTGCACCCACTGAGTTTGTTCAAATAGGATAATAGAACTGGAGAAACCTTCCCTCTGGTGAGAAAGTCATACTATGAGAGAAGCTCCATCCTCATTTCAGAAAAACTGATAAGTAAATCAGTAAAAGATAATTACTTGGTCCTGKTTTTTTTCTCTGAGCACAACAAAAGCATGCCATTTGTTTATCAGACCCAAGCGAAATAGGTGGAAAGTCAGTTTCAAGGCCAGCAACAACACTGATTTAGGTGTCAAAACACCAAAGGATCACCAAGTGTTTGCAGAGACTAATTAGGAGAAAATGCAATTTTGTTCAACTCTTGAAAAGGGAGATGTGCACTCCAAACTGTGCTGCAAACTAAAAGGTGTCTCTCTCTCTCATCACTAACATAGCTTTCCAACGTTTAAATGAGGTTAAATGAGGTATTATTATGCATTTAAATAAAAGAAAAGCATAAATTCCTTTTGTAAAATAGTACCAAAGCTAACAGTATCCAAATT